CGACGCGGTAATAGCGGCGAGGGGTGCAGTTAGCACGGGACATGAAGACGGGCCAGGGCTCTGGTGGTCATACATGTGGTGAGACAACTGCGAATTTGACTCAGAATGACTACAAGCAACGGTGAAATTCCTTCAAGTTTCAGACATGCGGTCAAGAAAGGAGCGGTGATGTTGAGTTCAGGTAACTCTTATGTGTGACACCCAATATGTGAGTTGTTCACTTTCACGCAGGTCAGTGTTCAGTGTGTGATGGCGTTGGACGGATACTCTTGAAGTTGGGAGCTCAAACTAGAGTAACAAGGAACTTAATTTTGCTCGAGTGTTGACTGTGGTCAAGAAAAGAAGGAACTACAAGTTGCAGGTGGAGTCATATGGAGTCTTTGGAGTAGCAGCGGTGCTCATGGGATAAGCTCAAGTCCGATGTACATGGAAGTTTGATGCATGGATGAATTCAAGGTGGTGGAGAATATTCGTCAAGGTGGAGTTTGTTAGAGTTGTGTCGAATATTGTGTACAAGGTAGGTTATAGTTGGACTTGTAGTTGTATTGTGTTTAGATAGGATATTGAGTCGTGTCGTAGTAGGACACTTGTATCCTAGGCCTCTCATATATAGTGGGGCTAGACACACGATGTAACCTATGCCAACATAATAGCACCGGAACGCAGGGGAAGCCGGCGGCAATGTGCCGGTGTTCAGGGCGACCGGGTGCGGTATTGTAGCGGTGTCACGGGGAGGAGCGCCCGTAGTCAAGCCCCGGGATGTAGCCATATCGGTAAACCTCGTTAACAAATCTCGGTGTCGTGCTCGTGTGATTGCTTGGTCCTTGAATGATCTACGGTATGCCTCAGATTTATTCTAACAGTTACATGGAGATGCATTGGACGAAAAAAGATTATACTTTCCTGCTAAACAGGCTAGTTCACAATGAATAAACTTACTTGGTCAATCAATGACTCGCCATGGAGAAGAATCTCCAACTTTCTAACACCTTAAATAACCTACTTGCGACACCTTAAATAACCAATGGCAGAATAAGTCACTGATAAGTTTGTGTTGAATTTCAATGAAGCCGGTGTGCGGAACATACAGTAGAGTTCATGGTTTTATTCACACCAAAGAATGTATATCAAATTCGAGCTTCCCCAAACGAATTTCCGTCACCACAAGAACAGTCGCATCAGGCTGCTCCAGATCGGTGGCAGCACGTAGCACAGTTGCTGCTAGAGAAATGTGCAGCACACCCACAAATTATAAAGAAGAACATTAGGAATATACACTCTCTAATTGGTTAACTATATTTTGATGCTGCTGCAAACACACAAGAATGAGCATGTTAGAGAAGACATAAACCAAGTTACAGATTAATAGTGTCCGCATAGGAAATCTCTATCTCTACTATTAAAGGTGGACAAATTAAGAAAATAATAGAAGACACTATTATACTTCAGAAAGTAGTTGAGGCTATGATTTTCGCTAGACTGGAACTCTTTATTTTCTCGACGGTAATAACACCCCTCCCATTAACTAGAGAAGAACATGATACTTAGTTTTTTCTTGGTCAAATCAAGAAGTGAAGATACCGGAGATCCACATCTTATTTTTCTATATAATCGTATAATGCATAACAGAAGATTCTCGAGAGTTTCATCTCCAATTCTCTATCCCGTGAACTAATTTTACTGTCATATAACCTATATAGTCAAGATATATTCAGTTGTCAAGCAAAGTAATTGTTTCCATTCTGGAATGTAAATATGGAGAGTTCTTGCCAAACTGTAGTCGTTTACATTTAACATAGTGTACTGAATAGAGTGACAAAGCAGCAATGCTACGCCAGTATATTATAAGCATGGAAAAATGAGCAGGGTCATTACATGGAGTCAGTGGGGCAGATTGACTCACATGGACACCGTAGTCTTGATAGAACTCACATGTTCATTGAAGAAAAGGGCTTTGTAAGACATTTTATCATTTTAAGCACTGGTATGGCTGTGTACATCAAGAGATGCAGATGCAAAAGTTGTTTCCCGTGCACGTAACTTGGTTGATATTTCTATGAGAGGAAGCTCTGATGGAGCCACTGTTTCCAACACTGGCTCTTCCTCTTCATTGTCTTCCTCCACCTCCTCTGCATCCTCGTCCTCTGCATCCACCACCTCTTCTTCCTCCAAATGAGTCCTTTTTGGCAAAACTGCATCACTGTTGTCCTTGCTCGCCGCATCGTTTGTTCAGATCAAAATCACCAACCACATTTTCATCAGCTTCTACAAACTTTGGTGTTAGAGGGGTGCTAACTTCTGCCGTGGGCCGACTAGGGGTCATGCTATCGTAGATCTCTGGACTAGGTACACAATAACTAGGTACACCATGGCTGCCTACTCCTCACCTATGGTTGTGGCCATCACTGCCTGCCAGCATGTGATTGAGGTATATGTCAGAGAGGTTGTGACCTAGCTCGACCACTGCATATATAACAAGGATCTTCATGCAAGTTTCACCGACCACTGCCTTGTAGTTATCCCAAGCATAATCCTCGACCAAGGGGATCATGGTGCAGAATGAGCTAGGGCCTATGCCGATGTCATATCTTCCTTCCAACCTTACTAGAGAACTTTCTTCCACATCCATCACTTGCCTCACCTTATTAAAAATTTCAACAAGAGTTGGATCCTTAGGAAACACAATGCATGGCTTTGGGTGTTCACAAACTCCACACCGGTGCTGCCAGATTGGATGTTAAGAGCGCCTCCATGATGTAAATGGACTACGCTACGATAAGCCATCCTACATAAAAAGGCAATATAGCCAACATTAACCCATTTCACACGTGACAGGTTCGACATACCAAAAACAATATGCACTCGTTGGCACCCTCCCATTACCTAATGATATGTAGTATACAACTGATATACATCCCCTGAACTTGATTCATAAGAAGATTACCTGCTGGTTTCGCCAGATATGGCTGCTTCTGTATCGTCTCCACCCTTGGACTCTACGACCACCGGGGATTTGGGGTTGGGGTCGAGCTTGGTAGGAGGAGGGTATGCAGCGAGGCACCGTAGGGAAGAGGGGGTGGCCACCGGCACCAAGCCTTCCTGGAATGGGTCGTCGGGTCCGTGGGGAACACCAGGAGAGGAGCCGACGAGGTGGGTGAACTGCGAGTGTGACTCTGTGGACATGGAGGAGATGACTTATTTTGGGGGAAAGGTGGGTGGAGCTCAAATGGACAAATTCCACGGCGCTCTAATAACGAGTACCAAAACGCAGTCGTCGAGGACATGTCACATAGGCGTTCACCGAGGGCATGAGCCGCCTAATTGGCAGGCGGCAGGGTCAAGAGCATAACATGCCTAATTGGAAGGCGGCACGACCGACGGCCTGACATGCCAAGTAGGCAGGCGGCTGGAGGAACTACAACACCAAATTGTCAGGCGGCACTGTCGGTGTACAGCCATGCCAAATAGAAGGGCGTACTTATATTTTTGAAACGCCAAATCCGAAGGCGAATCATAAGTGAAAAATGCCAAACAGATGGATGTGTTAAGATTCGTATATTGACATCTATCAGCTAGGCGTTTTAGGTGCACATCAGAATATGCAACTAAGAGAGGACGGGATTCGGCTTGCCTGCTCCCTCCTCATGTTCCCATCCGTGCTCCCACTTCATACTACGACTGTCTTTTTCTTTTTTTTCTTTCTAATCTAATCATCTCCCTCTCTGATTTTAAGGGGATGGGGCTGAGATTTATTTTATTTCAATCAAATCATGCCACGTATGCGGAAGCACGAATAGGCGCACGCAATTGTTTCATAGGGCACATGTCGATAACCGTGGACCGTGACGGTCGAAGACGCCTTCGCGGGCCGCACGGTGACGTGCAAATGACACGCCTATTAGTCAGGCGCGAAACGGGCATCAGACGACTAAATAATTGTTTTGGGGTCAGTGGGGATACAAGACCATTCAGGTTAGTAAAAATAATACTCCCTCCATTCTACAATGTAGTGCTTCCTCTATCCATGTGCTTCAACTTTGACCGTAAATTTAACTACTAAGACCGATTGCGGCGGGAGCAAAAATTATATCAGTAAATTCGTATTCGAAAGAAATTTTTTAATTATATAATTTTTTCTCTCGCCGCAGTTGGTCTCGTTGGTTAAATTCATGGTCAAAGTTAGACCTCAGAAAGCGCGGGCATACTATATTTTGGAATGAAGGGATTATTGCAACTAGTACTTGTGAATCTTTTGCCTGATTGGCATGGGACACTGTTTCATCTGACAAAAGCTATATGCATCGGCACGAGCTGTGGGGTACGCATGTGGGCTGTCGTTGACCTGTATGTCACCTCCGCGGGTCATTGTCAATCTTTTTTTTTATCATTTTGGAATACGTATAAATTTTAGAAAATGGTCCTGCTTTGTGTGGATCACAAAGCAATTTTCCTCGTGGATGGCTCAGATATGACTTGTGCTGGGCCATATGCATTTTTCAATTTTTTTTCGGGAAATATGCATTTTTCAATTCAGCATGATGCCATAAAAAGACAAAAGCTGAAATGTCACTATACACGTCTGGATTTGTCTTTTTTGTTTGTCCATGAATATTTCGATTTTGGACCTGAAATTTTTGTCGATTGTAGGAACATGTCTTGCGCACAGTCATGATTTTTTTTTCAGAATTTTTGAAACAACAAAATTTGAGTTTTGAAAAATATAGAATCATGTAATCATGTGATACCGTCACCTCACTGTTTGAGATGCCCATTAATCATTCATCTGACAAGCAGAAATTCGCAAAATAAGAGAGCATAATTTACATGTGGTGTGCGGTGGTGTGTTGGTGCGTTAGTACCACGCAAAGCTGCACGGCATTTATGCCGTGCCGTCAATACAGCCCTGACAGATCTTCATCCCGCGGCCGGTTGAGAGCTGCCTGTCACTGCATCGCCGCACGCAAGAATTGAAGCCGTAGTGTGGTAGGTAGAGAGAGCTAATGTGGGAGCCGGAAGAGTACGAGTTCGTGTGGAGGTCGCGTGATTTCCTCCTGATGCTGGCCACGCTGGTCGTCAACGCCACCTACGTTGCCGGGCTCAACCCGCCGGGCGGCCTGTTCGTCGAGGACGGCGACGGCCACCGCGTCGGCGGGCCGGTGCTGGCGACCACCTACCCCCGCCGCTACGCCGCATTCTTCTACTGCAACGCCGCCGCCTTCCTGGCATCGCTGGTCATCATTATGATCCTACTGGACCGGCGCATCGTCGGAAACCGCGCTGGGCTCACCGTGCTCCAGTCCGCCATGGTGCTCGGCCTGCTCGCGCTCACGGGGGCCTTCGCGGCGGCGAGCTGCCACGGCGTGACCGCGTCCATCTACGTACCGGCCGCGTTCGCCGTGCTGCTGGCGTACGTCACGATCCACCTTCTCGTGGCTGCCAGGGCCAAGGAACATTCGGGCGCGGAGGACGAGGGCCACCTTAGAGGACGGCGCTCGCTACCGCTGCTTCTGGCCACGTTCGCGACGCCTCTGGCATACGGCGCGGGGCTGGCGCCGCCTGGCGGGTTCTGGTTTGACGACTCCGAGGGGTCTCGCGTCGGCGATCCGGTGCTCGCGGACACCTACCCCGGCCGCTACCTCGCCTTCTTCTACTGCAACGCCACGTGTTTCGTGTCGTCCCTCGTTATCGTCACGCTGCTGCTGAGCAGGAGGTGGCTGAGCCGCCGCGTCGTCCGGTCGTACGCGCTGCAAATTTGCGTCCTGCTGGAGCTTCTCGGCCTTGTTGGCGCCTACGCTGCTGCCGCTGCCGCGACTGACCAGCCCACCGTCTACATCGTCTCCTTCGCCGGGGCGGTGCTCTTGTACATTGTGCTCGTAGGAATATTCTGCGTGGACACCACCAAAAAATGGCTTCCATGCCTCTTTCAGAGCCCTCGCAACTTGGAGCCAGCATCACCAGATGGGTAAGCTGCTCACAAGCACCTTTTTAATTGGTTGTCTCATTGGGTTGGGTGTGCCTAACTAGAATTAACTAAGTTATATTGCCATTTAGTTTAATTAAGCGCGTTTGGGTTTTTTCTTTTCCTTTTCTGTTTTGATTAATCAAATGACATAAGAGTTAGATGAGCCATGTAGATGAGAATTAGCAAATCCGTTTATCTTCTACTTCCTTCGTTCCTAAATATAAGTCTTTTTAGAGACTTCAATAAAGATTGCATACGGATATATGTAGACATATTTTAGAGTGTAGATTCACCCATTTTGCTCTGTATGTAGTCTGCATTGAAATGTCTAAAAAGACTTATATATAAGAACAGAGGGAGTATATCTAATCCGTCTGAGATCTCACCAAACATAAAATCAGTTCTGGAAAGTGCAGTTTGAGCATAATCCTTTTTTTTTGGAACTGAACTTGAACAAAGCCTTTTATAACCACAATAGCTATCCGTAAATCACCTGAATTCCCCATTTGGTTCAATCAATTTTGGGAAGAAGAAGAAGTTCGCCAGAGAGAAGGAAGGAAGAAGGAGCAACCGCCAGCAGCCGCAATGGAGTAGCCTCCTCGTCTATCTTAGGGGTGGATTGCAGGGCGAGCTGCAACAACCACAAGAAAGTAGCTTTCTCGTCTATATATCTTAGGGGTGCAGGGCAAGCAGCAGCCTCCTTGTCTATCTTAGGGGTGGCGTCGGCATCAAAATTGGAGGTCACTGGGGTTAGAGGGATGACCGTGGGCGGTGCT